ATGACGGCACGCGGTGTTGGCAGGCTGTGGGGAAACAGGAAATTAGGTGTTGCTGATAGGAGCGAAAAACGAAAAGCACGGCTGACCGCAGGCTATGTGGCAATGTGTCCCGAAACTGTCACTATTCATCCCTTGTAAGCACCAATTCCAGATCCAGGGACTTACGTAAATCATTGGACAATAGTTCAAGGACGTTTATATGAGCATGTGAATGCAGTACCCTCCAGGTGAGGAATAAAAACACTTCAATGGCACACGAGCTTGTTTAGGTAGATTATAATAGACTATCATAAACTTTTTTTCTTTTTTTGCTTTAGGGCCCATAAGCTCGCCTTGGAGAAAGAGACAGAGACAGTGAGAGACAGTGAGAGAGAAAGTGAGAAATCATCCCCCGCAGGGATGGCCACACCGCAATCCCTTCTCCTCCAGGAACACACACATGTGCACCCGTGCAAATGATAAAATTGCAATTCACATAGGATCTGATTCATAGAAACTTTTCCACATTCAACTCTGTGGACATTAGAATAGTCTGGGAGGGGAACCAGCAGTTAGCATAATGGCTATGTCGCTGGACTCCCACGTAGTCGACCGCGGTTCGTGTCCCGGACCCGGTGGCTTAAAACTCACGCCGGGCGCATGTGCGTGCGTGCCCAAGATCCTGAGAGGAGAATGGAGGAGAAGGGATTGTGGCGTGACCATCCCCCCTGGGGGGTGATTTCTTGCTTTCTGTCTCTATGTCTCTCTCTGTCTGGTGAGCGCACATGCCCTACAGTGAAAATCTCTCCAAAAAAAAAAAAGAATAGTCTGGGAGGAATTTTTGGTAAAAATGTTAAGAGAAGCTAAAATTTTAAGGGGTTGCTACTTTTGTCTTTATATTTTCTGTATTGTTCAAATTTACATTATTTATTTTTGTAATCTGAAAAGTCAATAAAGTCAACTTTTTCCCTTCTTGTTTTTTTAAATTAACTTTCATTTTAGAATAGCTTTAGATTTACATAAAACACCATTACATATAATGATGATAATAACACATCATTTCCATATACCCCACACCCAATTTCCCCACTGACATTTTTAAAGAATTATTTATTAAATTTTATTTATGATCAATATTGTTTGTTTGTGGGTTTTTTTGAGGTTTTTGCTATAGGGTGCATGTGCTCGCCAGACAGATAGAGAGAGACAGAGAGACAGAAAGCGAGAAATCACTCCCCAGGGGGGGATGGCCACACCGCAATCCCTTCTCCTCCATTATCCTCTCAGGATCTTGGGTGCGCACGCACATGCGCCCAGCGTGAGTTTAAGCCACCGGGTCCGGGACTCAAACCGCAGTCAACTACGTGGGAGTCCAGCCACATAGCCATTACACTAACTGCTGGTCCCATCAATATTGTTTTTTAATTAACTATAAGGCACATGTGATCACCAGAGAGAGAAAGAGAGAGAGAGAGAGGGAGAGAGGGAAAGTGAGAAAAAACTACCAGGTCTGGGACTTGAACCACGGTCAGCCATGTGGGAATCCAGTGCCTTAACCACCATGCCACCTGCTGGCCCCACCCCATTAACATCTTACACTAATATGGTGCACCTTTTAGAATTAAAAAACTAATACTAATCTGTTACTATTCTTAACTAAGATACATGCGTTATTCAGATTTCCTCAGTCGTCACCTAATGTCCCTTCTCTGCTCTCAAAATCCATCCAGAATATTCAATTGTTTTTAGTTGGCATGTCTCTTTAGGCTTCTCATCTTTTCCTTCTTTTGAATGTTCTTGACAGTTTGGGGGGGCACCATTTAGGCATATTGTAGACTATTCTTCAACTGGGATTTGTGTCTGACGTTTTTCTCGTGATTAGACTGGGGTTATGTGTTACTGAGAGGAGGGCCATGGGCAGAAGGCGCCATTCTCCTCTCAGCATACTGACGGTCCCTACTAGTGGCACGTAGTATGGCTCGCGAACCTTGACTGCTTGGCTAAGGTAGTGTTCTCGTGGGCCGCTGTAAAGTTGTTTCTGTCTTCCCCTTCATCCGCTGTACTCTTCAGAAAGCGGTTACCAG